GTAGTCTTGCACGAAAAACGTTAGAACTGACATTGTCGGGGCCTGATATTGTAGTCTCACACGAAAAGCGTTGGGTCTGAGGTAGAGGGTCTGAGGTGGGGGGCTTGGGGTCTGAGATGGGGGGTCTGAGATGGAGGGTCTGAGGTGGGAAGCCTGAGATGGTGGCTTGAGATGGGGGCCTGAGATGGTGGGTCTGAGATGGGGGGTCTGAAATGGGGGGCCTGAGATGGGGAGAACGTTCCAAACCCTGATCAGAGATACCTTAATTGAAGTGGGATAGAAAAATTGAGCGGCTGTGGCTTCTTGTTTTTGTCTTTCCCCAGCCCGCCCCACCCTCTTGCGTTTTGTCTCGTTCTTATCCCCCACAGTTGATATCTTGCTTGCGATCTGGACGAACTCAAGACAAAACGGAGTGTCTGTGGAAAGATTAGTGTCAAATGAAAGTTACTGAGCGTGGATCCTAACTTTGATGGCTTCTGCTTTAGCGTAATTTCGAGAAAGGAATTATACAGTCATGCTCTTTGCGGCTTGCACCAGGCAAAGATATTGATACGTGACAATAAATAAGCTGTCCTCGCTTTGTACGTGGCGGTCATTCCTACTGATGATGTCAAAAATAAAATTGGCAAAGTGAACCTATTCTTATTAAATAGTTTAATCAGTGGCCCGGTCACAGTTAAGACATTGAAAGAGCTTAAGCCGGATCGCGGAAAAACCAGTTTAGTTCCTTTACAAATAGGATGTAGATATTCATGCGATGCACAAGATTGTTCTCGAACACCGCGAAGAAACCTTAATTAGGTTGAGCACAAAATTACGGTTTAAGCATATTTAAACATGTTGCAATAACCTGAAACGTGACTACAATGTTGACTGATCTTTCTCAAGTTACCCCAGGTCCTTGGAGATACTATGTAATGAGACGCCGTGCTTCAGTCGAGCAGGTTTCCTCGGCATTTGCAGTTCAGGTATGTACATTTCGATCGACTTCAGCCTAGTATCTCTGGTGTGGCCAGAGCGATATGTACTGTGATTTTATCATCCTTAATCGAAATTTTGATGTCTGAATTCCACAACTAGGGCCTGACTCGGTGAGTTCATTTGCCGATGCTTTTAACGAGCCTATTCTTGCGACACAGATTTACTGTGGCAATTCACAAATTATTTATTTGGCAAACAAGGCGAAGCGAATTTCTCCCTCTTCTTGGACGACTCATGTATTTGTGCAGCTTAGAAAACAGTGACTTTAATATGACTACGTAAAAGGAGTCGACGAGTCCTTAATTCTAATTTTTTCTAATATATTTCCTCCTTTTCAGTCGCGCTACTGGTATCAAGACTCTTTTAGGCATGGCCTATTCAGAGCTGCTTCAAGTTGCTACCATTGTGCTTCTGCTAGGTATGTTAATACACGGCGAATTTTTAGTAACGTGTAATTTTATGACATAAAAAGCGACAAAAGTTATCTTTCGGCAAGTCTTTAACTCAGGGCATTTTGCAGACGCCTCCGGCCACTGCACAAATGGCTAATAGTACATGTGTGATATCTAAGCCAACCAGATTGCAGCATTTGGAATAGCATATGTTTTTTTCGTGGCGTACCTGTAAAGTAGCTTTTTAGCTAAGAGTACCGACCACGTTAAATACAATGATTGATTGATTGATTGATTGATTGATTGATTGTTTCAACAAATTAATGATAACTTTGTTTAATGACTGTAGGCGTGACAATTAATTGCCAAGCACCACCTTCAAGTGGTTCTCCAGGCCCGGTTGGCTCCCCCAGACCTACACGGTATTGTGGAAGCGTGAAATACAATCCCTTGACACATCTCTGCTGCAGCCGACAAGTGATAGTGAAGCCGTCGTCCTCATTCAGGGGATGCTGTGGAAGCGTTGCATACGACCCCTCCAAACACGTCTGCTGCAACAGTGTCCTTCAGACAAAGAAAACTGCCCATCGCTGCTGCGGAACTAAACTATATGACTACAGAAAACAACTCTGTTGCAACCGAACAGTGATGGCGAAACCGTGGCCTTCTACTCGATGCTGTAGAGGCATCCCTTATGATACTTTTAAACACAGTTGTTGTGGCAACGTCCTAAATCCAAAGAAACATGGGCACTACTGCTGCGGTACAACTCTTTATGATCCCAAGGTTCAGTTTTGCTGCGGTGGCCTGGTGCATAGCAAGACTTCCAGTTTTCAGGCTTGTTGTGGAGGGATAATTCATGACACCAGAAGGCAGATCTGCTGTTACTGAAAATTAATAAGCATATTTGCACCTTATGGTACAAAACCCCGGTGTTGTGGGTAAGAATATATTATATTTTACAGTTGCCTGCTCAATGGCCTGGCCTTTCAATGGCAGCAAGGCTGGAGGTGACCTTGTTTTAATACAGATCTCCCTGCTTTTGTTGTGTAAACCAAGTTGTTTTGATGCTAATTTGTTGGCATTTAAATAAGAAAGCAGAGAGGTTTGTATCAAAGCAAGGTCACCTCCGGCCTCGCTTGCATTCATAGACCAGGTAACTAAGCACACAACTGCAAAATGGCTTAATGCATCGATCTCTAATTAAATATATAATGTGGCTTACGATACTCTAGACCTTTCCGTCTCTAGCGTTCCTGCTCATTCCTTCACTTCCAATAATACGTCAGACACCTCTAACACCCCTCCCCCTACTAATAACTGTCTTACTAGAGAACTTTCAAGTTTGGCATCTGCTACAGAAGTTCAGCAGTTCTCGTAAGCTTGGGGTTCTTTAATTGTTAGCAGCTGTAATTGTTTTAGGGCCATGGACATTGTTTCTGTTGTTTGCTCTATTGTACTCTCAAAGGGTATCAAGCCATTCATGTGAGACCTTACGAGAGCTGCTACCCAGCTCTAGCATCGTGCAATGTCCATTTTCTGTAAATAAGTTCTTTTCCTATTTGAAGAAATTCTTAATGGTTCTTAGTTTTTTTCCTGGTAATAGGACATGATGATTCTATGTTTGTGAAACAAACTCTTTTTGCATTTCCAGACCAATCGCGATTTACAATCCCGCAACTCAACTCTACTGCAACCGACGAGTTATCACCAAGCCATCACCATCTGTAACCAGGTGCTGCGGATTTGTCGACTCGGATACGATCCAGGAACACAGGTACATTAAGCTTGAGGTGGACCACTTGACTTTTGAGGGAGGGGGAAGGGTGATTTGGTGCAGGCACGAATTTGTTTCTCACCCACTGTGCTCGTCCTAGATAACGATGTTATTCAAGCTAAAAACCGCAACAGGACAAGTCAAGAAAAGCACAACTTAACTAGCCTTACTAAATTCCGCTGAAGAAGTCTTTTAGAAAACTTAATTGTACACTGTTTACTGTTTATCTTGCGTAACGTTTGTTGAGGAGTGTAGAAAATTGCATGAACTCAAAATTGGTGTTTTTTAACAGGTGTGCTGTGGGTCGAACCTTTACTCCAAGCCTTGCCCTAATTTAGCGATGAGCTGCTGTGGCATGACTCCTTACTTTTATACATCGCATCAGATGTGTTGTTCTCGACAAGTGACGTACAAACCACCTGGTGTTAAGTTCCCTCGCTGCTGTGGAAAGGTGTCATATGATCCCAGTAAACAGGTAAGGGCAGAAAATTGACATGCATGTTTAGTTAATCCCAACTGGTTTAATTGTTTTTCTTCACTGTACACTCATATAGAAATATAAATCATTAGAGAAGTATGCATTTCGTGACTGTGTACCTTGTTCAAGAAATTTGCTCGCTCTAATCTTTCATGAGTGATATATCGAAGTCCTTCTTCTCTTCTAGGGAATGGGAGTTCAGTCTCGGACCAGAAGCTTCTTTTAAATAACTTATGAGTGTCATCCTTAAAACTGATTTTTGTCTTCTTATTCTTGGACAGAAAAATTACTTAATTTATTTTTTATTCAAGACCTGTCCTTGGGCTTTCAGTCCAGATAATACCCGCGTGATACAACGTACCTTCAATGCCAACCCCTTCCCACCGTTTTTGGCAAACTTATAACTATCGTCTAACTCCTTTTGCTTTTGCTTATGGGCACAGTTGTTTCATTTAGAAAATTGCCTTTTTTTTCTTCTACTATTTAGCTTTGCTGTGGTCAACGGCTGTACCCAAAATCCTATTCATGCGGTGGATTAACTGCTTACAAACTCTTAACTCATGAATGCTGCCGCGACCGCCGTGTTCGACCTAAGGGCTGTTGTATCCTTAGCAACGTGAAGGGTTCCAAGCCTCCACCCGGCTGCCAGGCCGTGATTCAGGCTCCTAATGACAGGGATCTCAAAGGGCCCGAGTAACAAAAGACACGAGTCTGCAGGATGGCATATCCAACCATTCTATTATACTACTGTCGTCAGTAGCCGAAATCTTGAGCTTAATAGCTCTAAAATGCAGAATATTTTCTAGTGTGCAGTTGTTTATTCTTGCTCCCTCTGATAATGGCATTCCGACAGATACACTAACCTGAATTGAAATGTCAGTCATCTCCCGCCCTCTATCAGTCTTATCGCCCGGGGATTAGGCTGAGGGAGGAAGACGACTGACATTTCAGGCTACAGATACACCAGTGCTTGCTGGGATTCCTGTGGTCTACGTGAAAAAAGAGAAGGAAATTAGATTGATTCGCATTTTTGTCAAGTTTCCAACCACTTGCCGGAAGGAACTATAGTCGGCAGCCATAGTCAGTTACGTAGCTTTCTTGACTTCGTCGCTCTGTTAAAGCGGATTCAGTTTTCCTGGTTGAAAGTTTACACGACAAATGTACCAGGTAAAGAGTCCCCACTGGCTGTGCGGAATCAGTGCACAAGCGTACAAATTATCACCAAGTTGGCATCGATGTGGCTTACAGCAGATCAGAGCTTACTTTACTTGCTTTTGTTAATGCCACGTAAGTTTGTCAAAGATAACTTTGTCAATAAAGACTAATTTCCCTGCTCTATAGTGGCTCAGTAGTTCTTCAGATATTCCTTGAAAGCTCACAGTTTTCAAATACAATTTTTTTTGTTTGTTGTTTATTGATCTTTGTTTGCTGCGTGACATTAGAAACTATGGCGGCCATGTTGGTGTCTTGAGCTTTGCAATCCTGTGGTATTTGAAAATCCTGATTTCAGTTATTGGTTCGTCATTTGTTGCAGCTTTACTCAATTTCGGTTACTCCAAAACTGAGAACAAATAACCTGTTTTTTTTTCCTTTTTAAAATAAATCTAGCCCTTTTTTTATCACGCCCCGCTCTCGCTCTTCAGGACTGTAAAACTAAAAGAATCTCTGTTCGGGAATATTGGTCTCGCTCTTTATTCTGAAGACAGGCCGCTGCAGCACTTTAAAAGTTGTACACCAAAACAAGACATAATATCTTGCTTGGCACTAACGTAGCTTGTCCACAGTCCCTCAATTTTGTCGTGCAGTCGTCGAGATCAAGGAAGAAAAACACAGGCGTACGGGCACCTTCGGACTTGAGGGGGTAGTGACCTTCTAGCCCGAAAATTTGACGTAGTGCCCGAATGTCTGAGTGTTGAAATCGGGATGCAAGCGCACTCAAACTTCGTGAAAACCAAAACATTCACAATTCCCATATTGAATGAAACTGCTTTAATTCAATGACCTCTATCAACAGTCTCAATCTAGTAACATCTAAAACTTATTAAAAGAAAGAGTTCTTCAAAAAAGTCACTAACTAGAAACTTTATTTACGAGTTATACTTATAGTTATCAATGACGCCATCAGCATTATTTTGTAACGTTTTCTCTTAAGAGTCGTGGCCCGAATCATAAGCGTTTTGGCCGAAAAATCACACAATTTCAATATCTCGGGGGGGGGGGGGGGGNGCAGCCCTCCTCGCCCCCCAATCTCGTACGCTCATGAAGAAAAAATAACTTGCAGCAAAAAACAAACGGGACAGACTACACTAGCGTTGCACACCAACACAATTAAGAGGCCCTGCGCCTAAGAAACGACCGATGATTTCCGGCTAAAAAATAAAATCGGCCGATTT